GACTGAGGGAGAGACGGACTGAGGGACAGGGGGACACGGGTGGTGACAGCACGTGAGAGCACGGGGACATCTCCAGAACGGGACACCGGGAGAGGGGTGGGGACAAGGACACGGGGAGCAGGATGGAGACAAGGACCCTGCCAACAGAACAGACACATGGGGACACTGGAGTAGGGCTGTTGACAGGGACACCGGGAGCAGGATGGGGACAGGGATAGGGAGAGCAGGACAGGGACACCAGGAGCAGAGTGGGGAGCAGGGTCTTAGGGAGCAGGACAGGGACGGGAGCAGGGTGGGATGAGGAAATCGGGAGCAGGACAGGGACAATGACACTGCAAGCAGGATGGGGACAGGGACACGGGGAGCAGGACAGGGACATTCGGAGCAGGATGGGGATGAGGATAGCAGGAGCAGGGTGGGGACAGGGACACGGGGAGCAGGATGAGGACAGGGACATTGGGAGCAGGACAGGGACACCAGGAGCAGGATGGGAATGGGGGCATAGGGAGAAGGGGGAAACCAGGGACATCGGGAGCAGGATGGGGACAGAAGCAGGGTGGGAAATCAGAAATGGGGCAGGGACAAGGACACAGAGCAGGATGGGGACAGGGACATGCAGAGCAGGACCATGATGGGGACAGTGGGAGCAGGGCTGTGGATGGATACCGGAGCAGGATGGGCGCACTGGGAACAGGAAGGGGACAAAGACACTGGGAGGAGGATGGGGACATGGGGAGCAGGACAAGGATGGAGGCAGTGGGAGCAGAATGAGTGATAGGGACAGTGGGAGCAGGATGGGAATGGGGACATTGGGCAGGGTGGAGACAGGGAGACCAAAGCAGGGTGGGATGGGGGCATCAGGAGCAGGACAGGGACAAGAACACAGGGAACAGGATGGGGACAGGGACATGGGGAGCAGGACAAGAATAGGAACACTGGCATGTGCACAGGGATGTGGACAGGGACACCAGGAACAGGATGGGGACAGTGGGAATGGAGACAATGGGAATAGGGCTGTGGAACAGGGACAGCAGGAGCAGGGGGGGCACTGGGAGCAGGACAGGGATGAGGACAATAGGAGGAGGGCCGCAGCCAGGATCACCAGGAGCAGGATGGGGA